AAAGAGTTGAACGTTTGTTTTTACAAACTCATTGCCGTTGAGTTGAATCCAGCTCATAGCGATACTAAGGACGGATCAGAACTGCCCTATAGGGTTTCCACTGAGCGGCTGGGGATTCGAACTGCCGGCCTTTTTGGTTGGCAGCCAAGCTCTTAACCATTGTGCCATTAGGGCTCCCTAATTTGCATAAATGCTGGTAAATCACTGAAAAGTTGTAGGCCCCAGTTTCCTCATTTTTTAAAATAAAAGAAGAAAAGAAAGAAAAAAAATGCATGTTTTAGAGGAGTGTGGTATATACCAGTTACTTAATTTCCTGAAATACATAGAGTACTGTATTAGTATTAAAAAAACAAAACAAAGCAAAAAAACAAACCCATTGCCATCGAGTCCATCCCCTCTCATAGCAATCCTTTAGGACAGAGTAGAACTGTTCCGTAGGGTTTACAAGGCTGTAAATCTTTACGGAAGCAGACTGCCACATCTTTCTCCCGTGAAGCAGCTGGTGGGTTCAGACTGCTACCTTTTGGTTCACAGCCAAGAGCTTAACCGCTGTGCCACCAAACCAAACCCGTTGCTGTCCAGTTGATTCTTACTCATAGCAGCGCTATAGAACAGAGTAGAACTGCCCCATACAGGGTTTCCAAAGAGCAGCTGGTGGATTCAAACTGCTGACCTTTTCGGTAGCAGCCAAACGCTTAACTCCTGTGCCACCAGGACCCCAGTGTGCCATCAGGGCTCCTTGTGTTAGTATAACAACTGTATATTGCCAGTTAAGACCAGAGATGTCTTATTAAATCAGGTTCTACATTAGTTTTATGACTTTATACTAACTAAGCTGAGAAGGAAAATGTTATCAGTCACTGCTGTTTTGGATGGTTATGAAGTGTATACATTCCCCAGGCTTTTGTGTGGTTTAGTATCAAAGTATAAACCTGATGACTTTGGCATTTTGTGGGGTCATCCTCATGTTAAACCTTAAAAAAAAAAAAAAAAAATCCCAGTTGCGCTGGGATTAGATTCAGCTGCAGTGGAAACTTTGTTAAAAAAGTTTTAATGATCTGTTACTATAGAGATTCTCTTGGGAAATTGGTTCAGTACATTGTTAATCAGCATAAACAATGTATATTACAGTTTCTTTTTCGAGACCTTAAGTTGTCTGTCCTTCTATACTACTTAAATCTTTACTTTGTTACCAGCCACTGCTGTTGTTTTTGCCCCTAGATCCATAGATAACATTTGGAGCTGACTGGTTTTCTACCACACAATTTTTTTTATTGTTGTAGTTTAAATGAAGTTTACATTTCAAGTTAGTCTCCCATACAAAAATTTATGCATACATTGTTATGTGACCCTAATTGCTCTCCCCTTATTGTGACAGCACACTCCTCCTTTCCACCCCTGATTCCCCATGTCCATTCAACCAACTCGCTTTCTGCCTTCCCATCTCACCTCCGGACAGAAGCTGCCCGTTTAGTCTCTTGTATCTACTTGAGCTAAGAGGCACACTTCTCATGAGTATCACTTTATGTCCCACAGTCCAGTCCAATCCCTGTCTGAAGAGTTGGCCTAGGAAATTGTTTTAGTTCTGGGCTGATAAGAGAATACAGGGGCCATGCTTTCCAGGGTTCCTTCAGTGTCAGATGATTAAGTCTGCTCTTCTTAACTAGAATTTGAGTTCTGCACCCTACCTTTCTCCTGCTCCATCAGGGACTCTGTTGTGTTCCCTGTCAGGGCGGTCATTGGTGGTAGCAAGGCACCATCTAGTTCTTCTGGTCTCAGGCTGATGAAGTCTCTGGTTTATGTGGCCCTTTCTGTATCTTGGGCTAGTACTTTCCTTGTGTCTTTGGTGTTCTTCATTCTCCTTTACTCCAGGTGGTTGGGACCAACTGATGCATCTTAGATGGCCACTTGTAAGCTTTTAAGACCTCAGATGCCACTCACTGAAGTAGGATGTAGAACATTTTCTTAATAAACTTTGTTATGCCAGTTGACCTAGATGTCCCTTGAAAGCATGGTCCCCAGACTGCTATCCCTGCTACTCTTTCCCTCACAGTGTTTGATTGTATTCAGGAACCTTCTTAGCTTTGGTTTAGTCCAGTTGTGTTGACTTCCCCTGTAGTGTGTGCTTTCCTTCCCTTCACCTAATACTTGTCTACTATCTAGTTAGTGAATAACCCTCACCCTCCCTCCCCACCCTCGTACCCATCAAAGAATGTTGTCTTCTGTGTTTAACCCTTTTCTTGAGTTCTTATACTAGTGGTCTTATACAGTAGTCCTTCTGTGACTGACTAAATTCACTCAGCATAATGCCCTCCAGATTCCTCCATGTTATAAGATGTTGCATGGCTTCATCGTTGTTCTTTATTGTTGCATAGTATTCCATTGATACCACACAATTCTTTATGCAGAGGCAAGACATATGTTAAGAAGCCCTGGTGGCTCAATGGTTAAGCTCTCAGCTGCTAACTGAAAGGGGGTTCAAACCTACCAGCGGCTCTGAGGGAGAAAAGAATTGGCAATCATCTCCTGTAAAGATTACCCTCTTGGAAATCCTATGGGGGAGTTCTACTCTGTCCTATAGGGTCACTGTTAGTCAGAACCGACGGCACACAACAAGATATATGTTATATAGCAGGAAGTATTTTCAGCCGAATTCACTCAGCAGTGAAGTCACATTTTTAAATGAGTTTTCATAAAGCCAAAGCAAATGAACTTGATTAGACACATGACTGGATTAAAAGTGGCAGAGGCTTTAATTTATGAACTATTTCAGGGAGAAGAAAACAATTCCAAGGTAGCATATAGTATCAAATTTGAAACAAATGCTTGGGATTCTAGGGACCAAATGTACTATGAGACCACAGGAGGTGGGCTTGGAAATGGAGTCTCCCTTCCCTGGCCCTCTCCCTGCTTTGTGTTCATATACTTCCTTTTTTTTCTCTGAGATTCTGAAACAAAAACAAAGCCTAGGTTCTGCAGCAGCTGAAGGAGCTTTTGAATTCTTTCTAAAGAGGAAACTGACTACCTAACCAATATACTTCCTGCATGTGCCGTATCCGTTAAAGAGTGAGGAGAGGGATGTAGTGCTCAGCTGCAGAATTTCCCCTGTGGTGGGGTGCTAAATGTATTACAGTGCTCTGACATGATATCTTCATTTTTCTGAGCTCTTAAGGCTGTGCTTCGTATGGTTAGGGCCCAATTCTCGAGGATGTTGAGTGATGAACCAAATTAAGTACAACTGAGTTTCTGCCTTTTTTGTTTTAATTTTGACTTGGGTTTATTTCACAGAAGTTTTCTAGTAACTTTACAGAGATTAATTAACAAATTAGGGTTTCTCTTTTTCTTTATGATTTAAGGAATTATTTTATTTATTGCACAAATACCATTGCAACTACATTAATGTCAAAAGGAGAAAAAATTGTTTCCATGATCTTGTCCATCCCAGCAAATCAAACTCTGTTCTGTTGTTGTTGTTTTTCTTTTTTTCTTGTTTCTTTTTAGTCCTTGGGCGTGGGCATCTTTTGTTTTTCCATGGTTGAGAACATTGCTGGAAAACAATTTTATAGTTTGCTTTTAAATTTTTAGTATTAGAGAATAAACAGAAAGCTTTCTCAGTTTCTCTATTAATTGAAAATTATTGAAATATTATCCCTTATCCATGTTTTCGTGTGTTCTTCTTTCTTGGTGGATTTTTCTTGTACTTCAGACTTCTGCTAAAATAAAGTTGGCAAAAGGGGTAGGTTGGTAAACATAGTAAGTCAAGTGAAACTAATATCTGCAAAGCAAAAGACATGTTTGCTGTAATTCAACTGAGTAAGCGGGCTCGTAGTTAGAATGTCCACATTGAGAGAAAATGAATTGTGTGTTGTATGAATTCTTTTTTTTTTAATCAGTCTAGTGTCCACACAGATAACTAAATTGTTTTCAAAATATATGTGAGATGTTAAGATTTTTGTGTCATAGCCTCTTGAACAAGAGTTCTTAAGCTGGGAGTCTGTGGACCTAGGGCAGTGTTTCTCAAAGTACAGGCTACAGAATCGCAGGTATGCTTGTTAAAAACAAGAACTTCATCCATATACTCCTCCAGTCCCACTTCCAAGATTCTAGCTCTGTAGGTCTAGAATGGAGCCCTGCAATCTTCATTTTTAATGAGCAGCGTAGGTAATTCCCCTGCAAACCGAGTTTCAGAACTATTGCTCTAGGCCAGCGATGGTTGGGATCTGAGGGAATTTGTAAAGCCTCTGAAACTGGATAAATTTCTTTCGGCTGTGGATTATTCACTTTTCCAAGAAAAGGGTTTATAAACCCTCATCAGGATTCTCAAAGAGAACCATGACTTAATAAGGATTAAGCCATTGTCCCAGAGGTTTGTATTTCATGAACATTCTCTGCCTCCTTTGAGCCTCTTTGAATTTTAAATAAATTCTTAGTTTTCTTTTAGCATAATGAGAGCATTTTATCTATGAAGGGATTTTTTTGTATTGTGGCTTTCTAATCTGTCATTTCTTTGCTTCTCTTTAATAAAATGAATTTTAATCCCCTCCTAATTTAAAATGTTTTGTACTGAAACATGCTATTGCCAAGAACTACTACTCTATGCAAATAATAATAATTTCTAGCATTTATTTGTTAAGAACAATGTGCCAGGAATTGTACCAAGTGCAGTACGTAGATTATTTTACTTAATCTTCACAACAACTCCATGAGGTAAACATTATTATACCCATTTTACAAATAAGGAAACTGAGGCATGGATGCTTCATTAACTTGACTAAAGTGATACAGTTCGTGAATGATGGAACCAGGATTTGAGCTCATTCTGTCTGACCTGAAGGCCAGTTCTCTACAATTCTGCCAGTTTGTACAAATGAATCACAAATGGTTTATCAGTGAATGAAAGATGATGGTTCTGTAGTGTCGTGAGAATATTATGGGTGATGCCTATAGATTAGCCTTTTCTAGAGATTCTGATTCTGAGCTTTTATGTTATTTTGTTTCAGATTAAAGAAAGTGCATCACAGACAAGGGATGTCCTCAAACAGCATTTTAATGATTTAAAAGGAACCCTTGAGAAGCTCCTGGATGAGCGATTGGTGACCCTTTTGCAAGAGGTGGACACCATTGAACAGGAGACCATTAAGCCATTAGATGACTGTCAGAAGCTCATAGAGCATGGAGTTAATACTGCAGAGGACTTAGTCCGAGAAGGTGGGAGTCCAGGGAGCCTATTAAGTGTGGTTCTTTCAGAGCAACACTTTGCTGATTTCTCAGGATGCCAGCAGGCATCTTGCCATCTGTGGGGTGCTTGGGATGTTCCTATCTTGGGACAGTTTGTAATATGGGATGACAGATACACAGTGAGTTATCCTAGGGTAAGTGAAATTGAAGTGTTACTTACAATCATTTACAGAATAAGAAGTAAATGATTTTTCTCAGATGATTCTGTAATAATATTCATTATTAGCACAACTATTTTTAAGGTCATTGTGAGTCTGTTAAAATATTTTTCAGAGTGTTCATGCTTAATAGAATTTAATCCTAGTGTTCTTTTTAGAAGATTTAAAAACATGTGATTGGTGTTTACTCCTGAACTTGTAGTTGTTGCATTTCCTATCTTTAGCCAATTATTTTGGTTAAGTCATGCCTAGATCTTGCTTTGCTGCCTTCCTTCATACCTGCTTTCCTTCCTTCAACATAGGTCTTTGTCAGGTAAATAAAAAGGTGAGATAGAACACAGTTCTGCCTTGAGGGTTCATAGCCCGTTGGGAGAGACATACATGCAGAAAGAGGTCTAAGACCTTATGGGACACAAAAGGGCAGGTGCTTAACTCTTTCTGGAAAAGTCAAGGATAACTGCTGTGGGAGAAGTTCCACAGAGGCAACAAGCAGACACAGGGAGAAGAGGAGGTGTCAGTATGAATGGAAGAGAGTGGCGTATTCAGTTATCTACTGAAGTATTTTAAGCAGCAGAGTTACACCGTCAGATTCGCTTTTGTTTTTGTTTTTGTTTTTGGTTAATGACACTGCCTATAGTTTGGAGCCTGTATTAAAGACTGGAGGCAAGAGAGTGATTAGAAAGGGGGTTCAAAAGCCAGGTGAAGGTGAGGCAGGGCCGGTTTTAAGAAATTTGGGGGGAAATAGAATTACCAATGATTTTATTGATCAATAATGATTGATTTTTTTTATTGTTGTAGTTTAAATGAATTTTACATTTCAAATTAGTCTCCCATACAAAGATTTATACATACATTGTTATGTGACCCTAATTGCTCTCCCTGTACTGTGACAGCAAACTCCTGCTTTCCACCTCTGATTTCCTGTATCCATTCAACCAGCTCCTGACCCTCTCTGCCTTCTCATCTCACCTCCAGACAGGAGCTGCCCATTAGTCTCATGTATCTACTTGAGCTAAGAAGCACAGACTTCATGAATATCATTTTATGTCCCATAGTCCAGTCTGAAGAGATGGCCTCGAAAATGGTTTTATACTCAGATTTTTTGAGATCGTATGACTTTCTCCCTCACCAAGAGGAAAACAGACACATACTCAACAGTGTCTCAAAATCCTCAAAATTCCATAAATAAGTTTTTATCCGTTGGGGGGAAAAATAATTTGAAATTAAAAGTATTTGTGAAGTATAAAAATAATAACAAACTATATGTGCCTCAAAGGGTTTATTTTCTAAAATGAAAATGTTTCTTAGTCTTCAGGGAGATGGGTGTAGACTCTTGACCTGTGCTGACTGGTTTCTGGGTTTGTTTCTGAATTCCAAGTCTCTAAGGGAAGACATCCTGTGGTCTTGTTAAAAAGAAACTTCTCAAAGGCACTGTTATGGTCAGTGGCAAATAAACACTTTTCAATGAAGACAAAACAAAAATGTAATTAGCATGTAGAGATACTACTACTACTATATTTTAAATTGGACAAAAAAGGAGATTATTTTTCAGTTGGAGTGAGGCTTATGACCTATCCATACTTTTTATCTTACGCCATTCACAGTACTCAATCTGCAGAATGGATGGTATTCAGGCTCCTTCCCTGGATCTTTCTCCACAGCTTCCCTTTAAATGTAGGTGTCCGTCTTGTGGGTTTGTTTCTGAATTCCAAGTCTCTAAGGGAAGACATCCTGTGGTCTTGTAAAAAGAAACTTCTCAAAGGCACTGTTATGGTCAGTGGCAAATAAACACTTTTCAATGAAGATAAAACAAAAATGTAATTAGCATGTAGAGATACTACTACTACTATATTTTAAATTGGACAAAAAAGGAGATTATTTTTCAGTTGGAGTGAGGCTTATGACCTATCCATACTTTTTATCTTACGCCATTCACAGTACTCAATCTGCAGAATGGATGGTATTCAGGCTCCTTCCCTGGATCGTTCTCCACAACTTCCCTTTAAATGTAGGTGTCCGTCAGAGTTCTTCCCTCTGTGCCTTCTTTTCTCATGGTACATACTGTTTCTTCGTAATTTTACTTATTCCCATGGGTTCACATTTGATGTATATGCCATTTACGGCCATACTGACATCTTCAGGTATGATCTTTCTCCTAGGCATCATACTCATAGTTCCAACTACCTCCTGGCATCTTCAGCACCTCAAAGTGAACACACCCAAAACTGAACAAACCCACTAAAGCCTACCTCTCTTTCTTTGTTTCCTCTCAGTAAATGGCACCACCATTCATCCAGTCATCCTAAATCCTTCCCTCTTCCTTCCCTTCTATATCCACGCAGTCCTCAAAAATCAATCATTATTGAACATATCCTAGAGAAAGAAGAGCCGTCACATGAATAGATATATGCATACCCATGTTCATTGCAGCACTGTTCACAATAGCAAAAAGATGGAAACAACCTAGGTGCCCATCAATGGACAAGTGGATAAACACATTATGCTATATCCACACAATGGAATACTACGCAACGATAAAGAATGATGATGAAGCTGTGAAACATAACCTGGAGGAATCTGGAGGTCATTATTCTGAGTGAATTTAGTCAGTCACAGAAGGACAAATATTGTATAGGACCACTAGTATAAGAACTCAAGAAAAGGTTTAAACACAGAAGACAACATTCTTTGACAGTTACGAGGGTGGGGAGGGAGGGTAAGGGTTATTTACTAACTAGATGGTAGATAAGAATTATCTTAGGAAGGAGAGCACACACTACAGGGGAAGTCAGCACAACTGGACTAAACCAAAGCTAAGAAGGTTCCTGAATACAATCAAACACTTTGAGGGACAGAGTAGCAGCGGTAGCAGCCTGGGGACCATGCTTTCAGGGGACATCTAGGTCAACTGGCGTAACAAAGCTTATTAAGAAAATCTTCTGCATCCTACTTCGGTGAGCAGCATCTGGGGTCTTAAAAGCTTGCAAGCGACTATCCAGGATGCATGAACTGGTCCCAACCACCTGGAGTAAAGGAGAATGAAGAACACCAAAGACACAAGGAAAATATTAGCCCAAGAGACAGAAAGGGCCACATAAACCAGAGACTTCATCAGCCTGAGACCAGAAGAACTAGATGGTGCCTGGCTACCACCAGTGACCGCCCTGACAGGGAACACAACAGAGAGTCCCTGATGGAGCAGGAAAAAAGTGGGGTGCAGAACTCAAATTCTAGTAAGAAGAGCAGACTTAATGGTCTGACTGAGACTGGAGGAACCCTGGAAAGCATGGCTCCTGGATTCTCTATCAGCCCAGAACTAAAACAGTTCCCAAGGCCAATTCTTCAGACAGGGATTGGACTGAACTATGGGATATAAAGTGATACTCATGAGGAGAGTGCCTCTTAGCTCAAGTAGATACAAGAGAGTAAACGGGCAGCTCTGTCCAGAGATGAGATGGGAAGGCAGAGAGGGTTAGGAGCTGGTTGAATGGACATGAGGTATTAGGGTAGTATTCTGTACTGACTGCTATTCAACTTGATAAAGATTCTGTAGGAGGGATGGGAAACAGGTCCCTGGGCCCTCTGTTTTGCATAAAATTGGTTGACAAACAAGGTTTCACTTGAATAGAGCAGACTCTTTCCTCTTTGGCAAAAGGTTGCTATTGTGTACCCTTTTTCTTCTTGGCCTTAACCTTAGAATCACTTCTGAAATAATGTCTGCTTTTACTTTTTGGAAATTTAACTGTGGCATCACCTAAGAATTGTTTGCAAGAAAATCAGAGACTCACCTAGACCTGGTTGTGTTGATTATAATCTGACCATTTTTCACCGTACTGGTTCTCGTATTCCTGATTGTAGGTGAGATCGCCATTCTTGGTGGTGTAGGAGAACAAAATGAGAAGCTGTGGAGCTTTACCAAAAAGGCCTCCCACATTCAGTTGGACAGGTAAAAGAGTTAGTACCTTTTGGGCTTACTTTTAAGCATTTAAACTATGCTTTTTTTCCCCCCTGTTAAAGATTCTGATTTAGGGAGATAGAGAATATATTTTTCAAGGTTTCACTGACCACTACCAGTATTAGTAGTTTGAAATAGTTCTGATTGTAATCTTTGGTATAATATTACTGCATATCTTCTTCAATTCCAATGTGTAAGAGAATTGTCAAATTTAAAAAATTCTGAACATATCATTGAAACTGAGTCGTGTTTCAGTAAACCAGAGCTTTTGGTATAAACTTGGTCATTGTGATCGTACCAATTTTCTGTTTATGTTTATTTGGGAAGAGACTCTTTATATAACATCTTCCAAGCCTCCATTGCCATGAACATTATTTCCTGAGGGCTTCAGCATCACTGTAGTGTGTGACTGATCTGAAATATTCCTTGTATTTTTAACTCTCAGTTAAAAGCCACATAAATACATGAGCTTTGTTTCCTCAGCTTGCCAGAAGTGCCTTTACTGGTTGATGTACCTTGTTTATCTGCTCAGTTGGATGACTCAATTCTTAACATAGTGAAAGACCACATTTTCAACCATGGAACAGTAGCATCTCGCCCGCCAGTGCAGATTGAAGAACTGATCGAGAAACCTGGAGGCATCATAGTACGATGGTGTAAGGTACGTAACTCAGATTTGCAGAAGTGACTTCAACATTATGATTTGAGGACGTTGGGGCCTTTAAAGAATTCTTGTCAATGATCTTTGAATATTTTCTTCTTTTCCTAAACCAAAAATCTCCTTCGCTTTACAATTAAAATAATGTCACAGAGAGCTTGAACTGAGGTAACTCTTCCAGTTTGAGGTAAACAGTTTTGAAGGTACTCTTTTTTTTAGATCTCTGTATCACAGCATTGTTTTCCATTACATATTCCAGTCTTAACTCTTTAGTGAGTTGGTGATCTTTCCCATTTCTGTTTATTAGAAAAGTCAAAAAGATATTAGTGAATATTGGCCATCTAATATTTTCTGTTCAACACTGATCTAATACCTCTGAATTAAGATTTCTAAAGTGTCCATACTTGACACTGCTGAGAATTTTGTGTATTAAATCATATTATGTATATGAGTTACCAATGTTTAGTTTGTGTAAACTATTGTTTGTATTTTTTTATTAAAAATTTTTTATTGTTGTAAAAATACATCTAATACAACATTTGCTGATTCAGCGTTGTTTAGGTGTACAGTTTAGTGATACAAACTACATTAATCATGTGCAACTGAGGAACTTTACTTTTTTTTTGGAACAAGTTTTTTTATTGTACTTTAGATGAAGGTTTACAGAACAAGCTAGCTTCTCATTAAGCAGTTAGTACAGATATTGTTTTGTGACATTGGTTGCCAACCCCATGACATGTCAACACTCTCCCCTTCTTCACCTTCGGTTCCCTATTACCAGCCTTCCCATCCCTTCCTGCCTTCTCGTCCTTGCCCCTGGGCTGGTGTGCCCCTTTAGTCTCATTTTGTTTTATGGGCCTGTCTAATCTTTGGCTGAAGGGTGAATCTCAGGAGTGACTTCATTGCTGAGCTAAAAGGGTGTCCGGGGGCCATATGCCATATTCTCAGGGTTTTTCCAGTCTCTGTCAGACCAATAAGTCTGGTATTTTTTTTTTTTTTTTTTTTTGTGAGCTAGAATTTTGTTCTACATTTTTCTCCAGCTCTGTCTGGGACCCTCTATTGTGATTCCTGTCAGTGCAATCAGTGGTGGTAGTGAGGTACTATCTAGTTTTGCTGGACTCAGTCTGGTGGAGGCTGTGGTAGTTATGGTCCATTAGTCGTTTGGACTAATCTTTCCCTTGTATCTTCGGTTTCCTTCATTCTCCCTTGCTCAAGACTAGGTGAGACCAGTGGAGTATCTTAGGTGGCCACTCAAGCTTTTAAGACCCCAGACCCTACTCAACCAAAGTAAAATGTAGAACATTTTCTTTATGCCAGTTGACCTAGATGTTCCCCAAGTGTTTTTTTTTTTTTTTTTAACGAAGGCATGGTATAGAAAGAAGAGTAGAGATTTTTGTTGTAGCTATATTCAGAACAAGGACTCATTCCATTTTTATTCTTTTCCCTATCAATAGACTTGGATTATTTCCAGTTTTTATAATAAGCATTCCTGTTCATGGTTCCGGAAACACTGGTGGTGTAGTGGTTAAGAGTTCAGCTGCTAACCAAAAGGTCAGCAGTTTGAATCCACCAGCCGTTCCTTGGAAACCCTAGGGGGCAGTTCTACTCTGTCCTATAGGGTCGCTATGAGTTGGAATCGAATCGACGGCAATGAGGTTTTATTTTGTTTTATTCATGGTTCCTTGTAAGGTTTTTTCCTAAAACGCGTACTTAGCCATAGAATTATGAGGTCTTAACAGTGTTGCATCTGTACTCTTCTAGGTAATACCAGACTCTTTTCCAAAGTGATTGTACCTATTTAGCCTTCTACCAGCAGTATGTGAGTTCCTGTTAGTCTCTACCATTACCAATACTTGGCATTATCAGACTTCGTATTTTGGCCGATATGATTTCTCATTGTGGCTTTAGATTGTATTTTCCATGTTACAAATCAGATTGAATATTTTTTATATGTATTTTTGGCTGTTTTTATTTCTCATTTTATAGAATGCTTATTCATGCCTTTTGCCCATTTTTCCATTGGCTGGGTTGTCTTCTGTTAAATTTTTAGGAATCTTTTATATAAGCTGAATATTAATTCTCTCTTGGTTAGATGAATGATATAATTGTGGGATACTTATCATTGAATTGTCAGTGTTTTATCTTCAGCATTATTTTCTAGAAAACACGCCATTTCTTCAAAGGAGGCAGAATTTTTCATATGAGACTGGGAAGCATGAAACATATGGTTCAGTAAAGAAAAGAAGGGAAATCATGATGGCATATTTCCTGCAGCCTTCCCAAGAATAGCCCATATTCAGCATGTGAGCCTGAATGCTGGACCCAAAGTGCCCCCGTTCAAAGTTTTCAAGCAGTGATGCTGAAAGAAGTTATTCTCTGGTCAATTAGCTAACATAAAGCCTTTGTCCTTAGGTTGATGACGACTTTACAGCCCAAGATTACAGACTCCAGTTCCGTAAATGCACTTCAAATCACTTTGAGGATGTATATGTAGGCTCTGAAACTGAATTCATAGTATTGCATATAGACCCCAATGTTGATTATCAGTTCAGAGTCTGCGCCCGAGGAGATGGCCGGCAGGAGTGGAGTCCTTGGAGCATCCCCCAGATAGGCCATTCCACATTGGTGCCTCATGGTATGTTGTTGTCTTCTCACTCCTAAAGCTTGTCTGTAGATAAGAACACTTGTACTCTGTGCTCAGGGCAGCACACCGACAACGCCTTTTTTTTTTTATTGTGCTTTAGGTGAAAGTTTACAGAGCAAGTTAGTTTCTCATTCAACAGTTTATACACAAATTGTTTTGTGACATTGGTTGCAGTCCCTGCAATGTGTAGCACTCTCCCCTTCCACACCCCGATTCCCTGTTTCCATCCGTCCATTTTTCCCGTCCCTTCCTGCATTCTTGTCATTGCTTTTGGGCAGGTGTTGCCCTTTTGGCCTCGTATGTATGATTGAACTAAGAAGCACATTCCTTACATGTGTTATTGTTTGTTTTATAGACCTGTCTAATCTTTGGCTGAAGGGTGAACTTCGGGAGTGGCTTCAGTTCTGAGTTACAAGGGTATCCGGGGGCCATAGTCTCAGGGGTTCTTCCAGTCTCTGTCAGACCAGTAAGTCTGGTCTTTTTTTGTGCGTGTGTGAATTTGAATTTTGTTCTACATTTTTCTCCTGCTCTGTCTGGGACTGTCTGTTGTGATCCCTGTCAGAGTGGTTGACAGCCCTTTTTTCTAAGACTAACTCCTGAATTGATGAGAGCAACGTGGAACATGTCTTTTACTTCCTGCTCAAAATGTTTTATGTGAATTTGGAGAACTTTTCATCAGTTCTTATGTCCAGAGTCCAAAAATAATGCCAGACAGGAGTATAGGCGTCACCTAAAACCAAGATTTTAAATATTGCAAAGGCTTTTTATTTAAAATCTTGTAATTTGATCTCTCTCCTACATTACTATTTTAAAAGACTTTGATTCATTTGTTAATTAGTTTGTAATCAGGTTGAAATAAGCGCAAGCGATTATGCTTTAACCATGATTTCATTAGATGGGAGATAATACTTGATTTTCCATGCCAGAATTGTGCAGGAATAGACTAAAATCTTTTTGTAATTTGTGGGGCTGACCATGATAGTCTGTCACTGAATCTTTTATTGAACTTGCCCATGACGCCTAAGAGATCTCTTTTACTTCCAAGCTTTATTTAATGCATCTATATTAAAGATATTCCTCAAAAGATTCTAATAACTTTAAATGTCTTTGCTTTTAAAAAGAGTGGACAGCTGGCTTTGAGGGGTACAGTCTGAGCAGTCGAAGAAATATAGCACTCCGGAATGATTCTGAATCATTGGGTGTTCTCTACTCCAGCGCTCCAACTTATTTCTGCGGGCAGACACTAACATTCAGGCAAGTAGATGTTAAAATGTCTGTCTGTCATGCTTTAGATGTATACTGAATTGCATAGAGCATGCATGAGCTTTGGATTTGAAATACTCCTGAGTTTATTCTGTCTTTTATAAGCAGTGTTACTTTGAGGAAGTTTTTTTTATTTCTCTCTGCTTCTGTCTTTTCTTGTATTCATAGGGTTATTATAAAGGTTAACTGATAATGTATGTGAAATGCTTTGCTTATGCCTGATACATAGTAGGCACTCAATATGTTTAGGTCTCTTTTCCTCTTAATAGGGGTAAACAGACTATTTCTCCTTCAAAAATCAATCTAAAAAATTCAGAGGCCAAAAAAGTTCCTTTTTTTTTCTTCCTTTTTGATGATTTCTCAAAAAAAAAAAAAAAAAATTTTTTTTTATTATGCTTTAGGTGAAAGTTTACAGAGCAAATTAGTTTCTTTTTTTTAATTGTTGTAATTAAATGAAGTTTACATTTCAAGTTAGTCTCCCATACAAAATTTTTATACGTACATTGTTATGAGACCCTAATTGCTCACCGCAAATTAGTTTCTTATTAAACAATTAATATGCATATTGTTTTGTTTCATTGGTTGCCAACCCCGCGATATGTCAACACTCTCCCCTTCTAGACCTTGGGTTCCCCATTTCCATTCATCCAGCTTTCCTGTCCCTTCCTGCCTTCTTGTGTTTGCTTTTGGGGTGGTGTGCCCATTTGGTTGAACTACGTGTATTATTGTTTGTTTTATGGGCCTGTCTGATCTTTGGCTGAAGGGTGAACTTCAGGAGTGACTTCAATACTGAGTTAAAAGGGTGTCTGGGGGCCATACTCTCAGGGTTTTTCCAGTCTCTGTCAGACCAGTATGTTTGGTCTTTTTTTGTGAGTTTGAATTTTGTTCTACGTTTTTCTCCAGCTCTGTCCAGGACCCTCTATTGTGATCCCTGTCAGAGCAGTTGGTGGTGGTAGGTGGACACCATCTAGTTGCGCTGGACTCAGTCTGGTGGAGGCTGTGATAGTTGTGGTGCATTAGTCCTTTAGACTAATCTTTGCCTTGTGTCTGGTTTTCTTCATTCGCTCTTGCTTCACATGGTGGGACCAGTAAACATATCTTAGATGGCCTCTCACAAGTTTGTTTTTTTTTTTAATTAATTGTGCTTTAGATGAAGGTTTACAGAACAAACTAGCTTCTCATTAAGCAGTTAGTACACATGTTGTTTTGTGACATTGGTTACCAACCCCACGACATGTCAACACTCTCCCTTCTCGACCTTGAGTTCCCTAATACCAGCTTTCCTGTCCCTTCCTGCCTTCTAGTCCTTGCCCCTAGGCTGGTGTGCCCCTTTAGCCTCGTTTTGTTTTATGGGCCTGTCTAATCTTTGGCTGAAGGGTGAACCTCAGGAGTAACTTCATTACTGAGCTGAAACTGTGTCCAGGAGCCTTACTGTCAGGGTTTCTCCAGTCTCTGTCAGGCCTGTAAGTCTGGTCTTTTTTTGTGAGTCAGAATTTTGTTCTACATTTTTCTCCAGCTCTGTCTGGGACCCTCTGTTGTGATCCCTGTCAGAGCAGTCAGTGGTGGTAGCCGGGCGGGCACCATCTAGTTGTACTGGATTCAGTCTGGTGGAGGCCAGGGTAGTTGTGGTCCATTAGTCCTTTGGGCTAATCTTTCCTTTGTGTCTATAGTTTTCTTCATTTTTCCTTACTCCCAACGGGGTGAGACCAGTGAAGCATCTTAGATGGCTGCTCAGAAGCTTTTAAGACCGTAGGTGCTACTCACCAAAGTAGAATGTAGAACATTTTCTTTATCAACTTTGTTATGCCAGTTGAGCTAGATGTTTCCCGAGACCATGGTCCCTACAGCCCTCAGCCCTCACAGAGAGTTTGGATGTGTCTGTGGAGCTTCCATGACCATGTCTTGGACAAGTTGTGCTGGCTTCCCCAGTATTGTGTACTGTCTTACCCTTCACCAAAGTTACCACTTATCTATTGTTTATTTAATGTTTTTCCATCCCCGCCCCTCCCCTCCCTCATAACCGTCAAAGATTGTTTCTTTCTGTGTGTAAACCTTTTCATGAGTTTTTGTAATAGTGGTCTCATACAGTATTTGTCCTTTTGTGATTGACTTATTTCACTCAGCATAATGCCATCCAGATTTATCCATGTTGTGAGATGTTTTGCGGATTCATCATTGTTCTTTATTGTTGGGTAGTATTCCATTGTGTGTATGTACCATAGTTTGTTTATCCATGATGGGCACTTAAATTGTTTCCATCATTTTGCTATTGTGAATAATGCTGCAATGAACATGGGTGTGCATATGTTTATTCGTGTGATGGCTCTTCTCTAGGATATATTCTTAGGAGTGGGATTGCTGGATCATATGGTATTTCTATTTCTAGCTTTTTAAGGAGGCTCCATATCATTTTCCATAGTGGTTGTACCATTTTACATCCCTACCAGCAGTACATAAGAGTTCCAATCTCCCCATAACCTCTCAAAATTTATTATTTTCTTTTTATAAATTAGTGCCAGTGTTGTTGGGGTGAGATGATCTGTCATTGTAGTTTTGATTTGCATTTCTCTAATGCTAATGATCACAAGTATTTCCTCATGTGTCTGTTAGCTGCCTGAACGTCTTCCGTGGTGAAGTGTCTGTTCATATCCTTTGCCCATTTTTTAATTGGATTATTTGTCTTTTTGTTGTGGAGGTGTTAAAGTATTTTGTAGATTTTAGAGATTAGACCCTTGTTGGATATGTTGTAGCCAAAAGTTTTTTTCTAGTCTGTAAGTTCTCTATTCTTTTGGTGAAGTGCTTTGATGAGCATCAGTGTGTAATTTTTAGTAGCTCCCAGTTATCTAGTTTCTCATCTGGTTTGTTCATTGTTAGTTATGGTTTGTGTTGTATTTATGGCATGTATTAGGCCCGCTAGCATTGTCCCTATTTTTTCTTCCCTGATTTTTATCATTTTAGGTTTTATATTTAGGTCTTTGGTCCATTTTGAATTAGTTTTTGTGTGTGGTGTGAGGTATGGGTCCTGTTTCTTTTTTTTACAGATGGACATCGAGTTATGCCGGCACCATTTGTTAAAAGTCTGTCTTTTTCTCATTTAATGGACTTTGGGCTTTTGTCAAAGATCAGTGACCGTAGGTGAATGAATTTACGACTGGGTTCTCAATTCTGTTCTATTGGTCAGTGTGTCTGTTGTACCAGTACCACGCTGTTTTGGCTACCGTAGCTGTGTGGTCAGTTCTGAGGTAGTTTGTCTTCCCTTGTGAATCAGTAAGAGCAAGTCTCTGAGAGACAGTCTGTCAGTGTAAACATACTGTGTGTGTGTATAGTTCTATGTAAAATCAAACTGAAAGCAAATCTCTCCTACCACCAATTAATTTTTTATTTCTTTATCTATTTCTTCTTGTATTAGAAAAATTTCCTTTCTCTTCTTTTTAGGTTATCTGAGATGCATGCTGTATCGTCATGTTTTGAAATAGCTCTTTTTAGAAACCAAAGCTCAGTTTTGATTTAGAAAAGTAAGACTTCCGTGATTTTCACCACACTCAGCTCAGTGTTGCAAACTCTCCTCAAAGTTTTAAGTCTTGAGATGACAGGATTTGATTGTGAATGTTTGCCCCAAATGTCTCTTATTCTCCGTGCCTTGCTGTATAAGGCATGGAGAGTGTCTGAAGTTTTATCTAAGCCATTGTTGCTGTGGTGTCTTCAGCCAAATCATTCAAACTGTCAGCAGTTACCAGAATGCACTAGTTTATGACTTACCTCATTTTGACACCTCCTCTCACCCCTTATACTGTGAAGAAAGAATGACTTAATAACTAGCAAAATACCAACAAAGAGAGAAATAAGGAGTCTAATACCTAAAGTCTATTTAATTATTCCTTAAGTAACTGAGTTTTCTGTACTAACATACCCTTTCTCTGCTTACAGCCTTGTTTACAGAAATGCTTCCATTAGTGAATCTCCTGGGAACAAGGTTTTTCTGTGCAACAACAGAGCTTCCCCAATTGTTCAGTTCAGGCTAGATATCTTAGAATGTAATTATCATTGTTGTAGTAGTAGTGATCATTGCAGTCAGTATTTAAATAGCATTAACTATGTGCCAGGTACTGTTCTGAGCACTATACTTGCATTAACTCACTGGATTCTCACAATAACCCATTGAGATAGGTGTATTTCTCCATTTTAGGGATGAGGAAACTGAGGCACAGAGAAGTAAGGTCACTTACCCAGTGTCACACAACTAGTAATAGCAGAGCTAGAATTTGAATCCAGGCAGTCTGGCTCTAGAGTCTGTACTCAACCACTGGTCTATTTTGCTTCTCCTTTATCTTTTTCATATGAAAATAAACATGATTCTATGAAGTGCTAGAGTTTTTCTGCTCCTGTATCCTCAGCCCTTTCGCTTTTCCTTCTTATATGACCTTTTATCCTCTGGCGATGGTGTCTCCTGCCTCTCCTGATGCTCTCCTACTTTTTAAGCTCATGCTCTTACAGGGTAAGGTCTGATAGATTACATAAGTGTTTCTTGAATCATTCAGTAAATATTTATTGAACAAGACTTTAGAAATTACACAAGTTGATTTAAATCCACTTCTTACTGTCTGTGGACCATGGCCTGATACTTAGGTTTCAATAAACTGTTAGTTCCTGTTCCCCACAGCCCTCCCTTCCAGGCTTTGAGAAATCTGCAGAAATGCACAAGTGGGCCTCATTTGGCAGTGTGATTAACCAAAACTCAGTTAAACTCCCTGTTATCTTAGCCAGATCTTTGTATTATTGTCACTTTTTCTTTGAATGTGGAATGAAAATGTTTTCTCCCCTTCATTAAAGGAATTCCAGGCATCAGCAATTAAGTCAAAAGATGTGAAGGGAGGGCGTGTACATGCCTAAAGGAGGGGCAGATGGGCATGCTTGCCTAAAGGTAAACTTTACTCAGTTTTATGAGGGTGCTCGAGGGCCTAATAGTTAGAACCAGCAACCAACCAACCTGT